GCTCAWCTCGTTCCAACCATGGGCAGAGACACCTTCCACAGGCCATCCAACCTGGCCATGGCCTCACCCAGGTGAATCCCCTTGATGAAGGTTGTGTTTTTTCTGCAAGTTCAGGCAGTCTGAGCCCTTTTTTGTGAGCTCAGCACTGGCCACGCAAGGCAGCTGAGCTGGGCAGCGTCCTGGTGTGACGGTGTCCGCACTGCTGGGCTGACTAACGTCCATGTGGAGCGGGTGATCCATCCCTCCTCCTCCTTGTTAGGCAGTTGCTGGTAGCAGCCAAGCCCTGGAAGATGGTCAGCAGATAACCATCTCTGTGGGAGTGCGTGGCAGGGTGTTTATTTCCTGCACTGCTCTCTTTGTCGCTCCYGCTCCTGGCACAATGAGCATCAGTGGTGTGGAATGCTCTGGCAGGTTTTCCCTGCTGCATGCAGGGAATGACAAGAAATGGGTCAGACACCGATTTTGGCATTGATGAGATCCCCATGTCCGTCAGAGAGCACTCTTGTCCCATGTTACTGCCCTGTGGCAGAGATGAACAGCAGCCCATGGGCTCCAGTGTCTGCTTTCCTGTGATATCCTCATTTCTGCTGGATGCTACCTGGGAAAACATGGATGCACCAGGTGTGTGGACCAAGGAGCCAGGCTTTGAGAGCTGGTGGTTTATGGTGGTGTGATGTAGGGTAGAAAACTTTCCATGGTGGTGTCTTTCTGGAAATCCCCGAAGCAAGAGGCCTGAGATGCTGAGAGCTGTGAACTGTTTGTAAAAGTGTTTGTTTTCAGCATCATCCTGTGTTTGTCTCTGYGCCCTGGTGTGACCTCATGTCAGGACTTCCTCCATGTGCACAAGGAAGATGAATTGCACTTGCTTTTTTGGGGGTTGCCCTGTCTTTCCGTTTTCTGCTCATTGCTCCCCTCTCTCCCCTTGTTGATGCAGTAGCTCCTAAAACTGTGATAGGAACAGCTGCTTCACTGGAACACATTCCCTTTTCCCTTGCATCCCAAATGCAGGAGCATTTAGAAGCTGAAAGTAAAGCTGATTATAACCAGGCCTCGTTATCCCTCGAGAGGAGGGCAGAAAGACGCCCAACTGGATTTGTAATGGGTTAGGATGTGACTAACAGCCTGAGCCAGCCAGAAACCTCCCCRTGCACAGACTCTGTTGGAAAACATCAATTTGTCAAAGCTGAAAGCTTCCATGGGAATCATATATACTGGTTTTGTCAGGAATAGTTGGGTATTTTTTTTTCATTTGAGATGAAATTTCAGGTCAAAAAAAAGAAAACCAAAGAGATCCCCCCACCCCAAAGTAGTCGGCTGGTCGGTCCAGCTGCTGGCACAGATGTTTGGGGCAGGGRAACAGTTTTAGTAGCAGCTGCTGTGACTTTTTGATGCCCATCACATCCATCCATCTAGCCAGGAGACAGGCTCACCACACACACAGAGCATCTCCAGTTCCTCAGGGATGTGCGGTCTTCTCACACATTCCAACTCCCATTCATCCAACACTTGGGTGCAGCATGCCACACTTCCCAAAGCTCCCACTCCTCCCCAGCTGAGTTTGGGCAGAATCCCAGGCTGGAAGCTCCTRCTTTGCCCACTGCTGATCTGAGTCTCAGGAGCTCCTTGTCCAGGAGCCCAAGCTTGAGTTTATTGGGAAAATTGGAGCAGGTCATGCCTTGGAGCTTTCCTCCCTAAGGGGGCAGATGCTTTCCAGGAGGGGAAAGGTGCTGAGTTTGCAGCAGGGCCCAAGGGATCTGTCACCAAACACTRCATCAAAGGCTTCCCCACTCCTGCCGTGCCACAGTCACCTCCAGAGAGCTCCTAAACAGGAAACTGCTCCAAACCAGAGCCCCCCCGCTGCCATTCCTGCAGTGAGGCCCCTCCATGAGGGTTGTGCCGTCTCCACTCTGGCTGTTGTGCTCTGTTGTGTTTTCTCTCCGTAGTAACGTGCCAGTAGCTCCCTGGGGAGCGAGGCCAGCCCATGGCAGGCAGTGAGCTCTGGCCTGGGATGCATGAGCTCCTCGGGACGTCTCGTCCTCTCGGCTCACCCCACACGCAGCTTTTGCTTTTGCTTTTTTTTTTTTTCCCCCCAGTGTTTGGCTCAGCCCTGCTCCTGGGAGATGGGGCTGGCATTTGTTCCCTCCCCTTGTTCCTGGGGAATGGCTTTGCAGCAGTGTCCTAAGGAGGCTGGAGTCAGGGGCTGTTCCAAGTGCTATAGTGCAGAAATCGGCCTTGCAGGCAGCAGCCAGGGCCCTGCCCTGGTTCTGGGCACACAAAGGGGTACCATGGGCTGGGCCAGCACAGGGGGACAGGGACAAGGGACAAGGGATAGTCCTGCAGTGCTGCAGCATCCCCTCCCTGGCAGGTACTTTGTGTATGCCAGGAGAGGAGGTCAGTGAAGGATGGGCTGGAGAGGGATGYCTGTGTCCTCCCAGGTGCCTGACATGTCCCTTCCTCAGCTGGGGACTCTGATCTCAGCTGGGGCTGGGACTGGGCTCTGCTTGTTCCCCCAGACTCCTGAGCCACCCAGCCTGGGCACTGTGTCTGGCACCAGGGCTGAGCCCGCCACTGATCCCAGTCCATGGAGAGCAAGTTTAAACCTCGCCCAACTCCTGGAAAAGCTGCTCCTTCCCTGTGCACCCTGTGACTGGAGGGAGGGACAGAGGGTGAGCAGGGCACCAGCTGTGCTGCCCCTGCTGCTGTTCTGCTCCTCTCTGGCTGTGTGATTTGCATCGACTCCACTTCCTCACTCGGTGGCCTCGAGGGGAGTGTCAGTGAGTCAAACACCATGGCCAGGCTCCCGGGGCTCTGCTGGCTGAGGCCTGGGCCTGCTGTGCCAGACTCTGTCTGTGCAGGCTGATAAACTCCTGTCCCAGAGCCCAGGGGGGTGACACGGGCAGGAGGCCAGCAAGGAGGTGTCTCTTATGCCATGTTCTGCTGGGATTTCTGCTTTTGACACCTCTTTTTGGTGGGGATTGCACCAAACTGGGGCAGGGTATTCCCAGGRAGGATCAGCAAAGCTTCCAGCTTCCCCAGCTCTCCTGGGAGCAGCGCCTGTGTCCAGGCTACCATGTAGCACCAGGGCTGGCTTATTCCAAGCCATGGCTGTGACCTGCAGGGCCACACTAAAGTCAGTGTCACAAGTGTCCYTGGTTTCATGTGCTGTGTGGCTCAGGGTCCCATCACTGAGGTGAGCACATGTGGATGTGRTCATCACTTGGCTGAGCTGGGATGTTTTTGTGAACTGGGCACAGTTTCCAGCAGCACTGACTCTCTCTGCAGGGCTGGCTGTAAAATCCTTTGGTCTCTGTGTGTGTTTTTTAAGCTGTGCCCTGGTGGCACCCTGCAGCTCCTGTCCTGGCTGGGGGTCTGTGGTGCTGCTGTGGTACAGGGAATATTGAGGAAAAGCCTGTCCAGGCCATGTCTGAGATCCTCCAAAGACTGCCTCGCTTTCTGCTTTAAAATGCATTTGTGTCTATGATACTTCTAAACAGACCATGTATGAAAAAGTGTACTTAAAAAAAGATCTTTTGTTCTGCTGTCAATTTTATTTTAAACTTCACAAAACTTCAGGCAGAGGCTATGGAAAGTTTTGGCCTGGGAGGAGAGTGGGGTGGAAGGGAATGTGTGAAAGCTGCCGTTAGATCATTTTACAGCCTTTAGTGCTGCCAACTCTGCCCTTGCCACSCCTGAGAGCTGCCACCAAATGCTCTGTGAGGGTGAGGGCACCTCATGCCCCAGCCTGGGCAGGTTTCCSTCCAGAAAGACAGGTCTGTGCTGCTGGGGATGGGCATCACCTGCTCCTTAGGCARTTTTGGGGTGCCTGGATCCACATGGAGAAACACTGCAGTTCTCCCTCTTTTCTGTCTGGGGACACTCAAAGAACTTGGCTTTTTGGTGAACCAGAGCTGAGAGGGGCCAGACTGATGCCTATAAATACTTGGGGGAACAACAGGGAGGGAAATTATTTACATCCACCCAAGAACAATGTTGGCACAAGAACGAGTGGGCAGAAACCAGCAGGAATAAACTCGGGCTGGAAACACGAAAGTTTCCATCCAGTGTAGGAGAATTGAGCTTCTGCATAAAAGGAGCAGGAATAAAAGCTTGAGCTGCTTCTCTTGAAACACGGAATTCCAATGGGCTCATTTCTAGTTTCTCTTGAATACAGGGATGAGGCAAACTGGGCTGGAGTTGTCAGCTGAAATGAAGTGAAATAGAGTGTACTGAGCTCARCGAAAGCAGATCCTGAATGCAGGTGAACTTTACAGCCCTTCAGCCTTAAAAAGAAACATTGGGGGGAAGGGAAAAATTCCATTATTTTAATTGAAGTTGTCTCTTTGACTGGGATGTTGCTTTTCTGAAGCTYACTTTTAAGTACAGAAACCCGCAAGAAATTACATGTTTGCATTTGCWCTGAAGGCACAAGCTCAGGTTCTGTGGATGAAACCAGAGGGGTGTTCTGACTCTCCTCTGACTCTCCTCTAATTTACACGTGCTGAAACKTCTTTTTTCCTGTAACTGAGCTGCTGTGAGAAAGATCAGGGTGTTGAAACAGGAAGCCTCTGTGTGTGCACATGTAAATTTGTGTGCACAACCCCSCCTTGCACACCTGTGTGCGTTTTCCTGTGTGTTTGTGGTGTTCACCTCCTCAGCATCTTCCCCAAAACRTGTCTAGACAATGCTGCAACACCAGACCAAGGTGTCTTGTCCTGTTTTATGTGCTCCAACAAAAAAACTCTTTGCTGGAGGAGAAATTAATTGGCTGTGCCCGGGTCAGCTTTGTTGTTTTCCCCCTTTTCTTTTTGCTCTCCCTCACCATCAACATATCTCCTTCCTCCCCACAGCTGTTTTCCTCTCCTAAACATGTTGTGCTGGCATCAGTGACTCAGGGCTGKGTTGAAAACTTGCTCCTGCTCCAGGGGCTTGGAAAGGCTGAGCAGACTGGGCCCTGCTTACACCTCAGGCTGATCAGTGAGGACATGCAGGTGTCACTGAAAGCAAAGTCTCACCCCAGCACCACAGCCATTCCCATGGGTATGAGGGATGCTGTAGCAGTCCCAGAACTGCCCRTGCCCTGCTGTGAGCTGTCTGGGGACATCCCAACCCTCACCCCTCTGTCCCACCCCTCAGGTTGCCACGACAAGGCYGTGCTGCTCTACGAGTACGTGGGGAAGCGGATCGTGGACTTGCAGCACACGGAGGTGCCGGATGCCTATCGAGGGAGAGGAATAGCCAAGCACCTGGCAAAGGTACGACCCCAGCCACTCAGAAGGGCGAGACCTGTTTTAGATCCTGGCTGAAGTCAGTCCCTACCATGTTGGAATTGCATGAGTGCCCTGTGGGAGCCCTACACTGGCCACAGAAACCACCCCATTTCCCATCAGAGCAGGGATCCCACAGGGCACCTTCACTGCCCTGCTGAGCCCTTTGCGTGCCTTGGGCTGTGCAGGGAGAGCTCAGGAGCCACCAGCACAGCAGCAGGGGGACTGTGGGGTGGTGCTTTGGGGTACAGCTGCTCCCTGGCTCTGTAAGTGGGGACAAAGGGGTGATGAAGGTGGCCCTCACAGGGTGGGCTGRGTCACCTGCAGTGTAGCATCCACGAGGCTGGGTGTGTTGAGGGTTAAATTGGGGACCCTGTGGTGGCTATGGCAGGATAGCTGTGCTCTCCCCTCAAGCCTCTCTCTCCACCTGCCTCACACAGGGGGTACCTGAGGGCAGCCTGCTGCTTCTCCCATTTGGGTGAGGGGTACAGGAACCCACGAGGTGTCAGAGGGGAGCATCGGCCGGGGGTGCTGGTTGTAACCCATTAACCCATCTGATCTTGGCTGGTTGTAGGCAGCCCTGGACTTTGTGGTGGAGGAGGACCTGAAGGCCCACCTGACGTGCTGGTACATTCAGAAATACGTCAAGGAGAACCCGCTGCCGCAGTACCTGGAACACTTGCAGCCTTAAGGCAGGACTGCTCCCACACCAGCACACCTGTCCCTGACTGTTCAACGCAGCCTTCGCTTCTCTGCAGTCTCAGGAAACCCCTTCCCACACTCGCAATTCCCGGTTTTTTTAAGCGTGTCCATGTGGTGCGTGAGTGTGGGCACAACCTCCTCCTCTCTGCCCACGTGTGAGCATGGCCACAGCCCCTGGGCCAGGCTGGCTCTGGGCACACGTGGTGCACCCCAGGGCTTTTCCCAAGCCAGGGGATGGAAGAGGGTGATTTTTCCACCAAACTCCATCGCAAGGCCAGGGGATGACTTGTTCTGCACCTCATCCTCTCCCCTCCACGTGGCGATAGCTGTGAACCTGCTGGGGGATGTTGGTTAGGGGTGGTCCTGGGGTACCAGCCCCGCTTTTCTCCTGGCAGTCGGAGAGATGCTCTGGATTAAGCTTTGTGGGACAGAGGGAGGTGCTGGAGGAGCCCCAGCCCTGTGTCARGTTCATCCCTGCAGCATTTATTGGGCACCAAACCGTGTCCAAGCCCACAGGCAATACATACAAGAACATGTGGACCATGGTGGYACCTCGGGRGCTTTGCTGCACTGGCTGTGGAGAYGTTGGGATGGTGACACCTTCAAGCCTGGACACAAGAGCCGTGTGAGGAGCGGACTTGGACTGCAGAGTTTGTGCAGAGGAAGAAAAGTGGCTGAGTTGAAGATGCTGCTCCTGGGAGATGCCAGCTCCTGCCCAGCTCCTGTACACAACACTGAAGTGGCATCCTACAGGGTCATGGACTCATTCCTGTCTGCCTGCCCTTGGTGTGGACACAGCCTGCTCAGGAGAAGAGACCAGCCCCACAGGCAGCCCTGGCCTAAGCGAGGGGATATGCCAGGGCACCAGGGTGGTTTCCTGCAGCTGAAGAGGAAGGCTCCCCCCATTGCCCTCTTCTCCATCTCTGCATCTGTCAGGGCCCCAGATCAGCCCCATCACTACAYCCCGAGAGCAGYGGGGTAAGGCTTCCAGGACCTGCTYCTGGCCATGGGTTCCAGGGTTCAGTGCTAGAGGCACCTGTGTCTGTGTGGATTCCAATGGCTTCTCCTTACAGCTTTTGGAAAGAATCCCTGGCTCATGGCATTACCTGTCTGCTCAGTGGCCTCCTCACAGCTCCAAGCTCAGGGCACTGGCAGCACTGTGGGGACATTGGCCAGCAGCAGGAACACCCTCATTCTGTGCTGTGTGGATGATGATCCTGTAGCATAACCCATAATTGCCACACTCAGATGTAGAGGTAACACCATGATGGCAGGGCACTGCCAGGTTCCAGCTTGCTGCCTGTCCTGCCTTGCCTGGGTTTTCCAGGGCCTGAGCTGCACCTCAGAACATCTCACACTGAGCTCTCAGGATTTTGCCATATCCCAGGGAAGGGCTGTGGTGAGGGAGATGACATTTTCAACACAGCTGAACCAGCCCTGAGCAGCTGCAGGGGGCTGCAGCCAGGCAGGAGATGGAGATCTTTTCACCTGGAGGCCAAATCCAGACCTTGCTTTGCTCAATAGGGACTSAAGTTTACAATCTGTGCCACGAAGTGACTGAAGCCCCATCTGAGAGGCAGCTCAGCCCTCTCCCAGAGCCCAGCAGKAAGTCCATAGCAGTAAAGGCAAGAACTCCTACAATCTTCTCTCCTGGTTGGGATGGCCAGAGATAGARATTCTGTACCTGATCTCAGCCAGCTGGCCCTGGCCACCGGCTTGAGCCCTTGCTGCCTGTCTGTGCTTTTGGGCTGTCCATCACCAGCATAACGCAGCCCTCTCAGGCTTCTAAATCTTCCAAACTCCATTCCTGCCCTGCACACTGCAGGCTGTGAGACCCCTGCCCGTGCCCACCACCTGTGCCAGGGGGCAGGGCCACCTCTGCCTTGTGCTGCTCAGGRAAAGCCTTGAGCTCAGCCCTCCTCTGCTTCATTTCTGTCCTCTTGCTGCTTATTTAACCTGGGCTGTGACCTTTAGGGTGGCTTCRAAGGACTGGGAGAGGGTTGCAGGTAACAAACTAAAGGGGCTGAARAAGAAATGTGGGCTGCTAAAYGKTCYTTCTTYAACATGCAAAACATACTTGAGCACRTAGTTWCMGGAGCTAGRCTGGCTCTGGYATTGCTGTGGTRACCGAATCATCCCTGCTCTTGATTCCAAGGTGAAGCTGAACCGTTTTCTCCCCTGGAAGCCAAGATAAGACACTTGTGTCTTTGCCACAGCAGGGCTGGATGCTCGCGAGTGATGTCTGAGCCCAGTGCTGCGAGCCTCTGTCGTGSTTTTGTGCTCATTTCCCCTGTGTGCAGTCTCCAGCAGCCCCCTGTTGTGTCAGCTGGCTGGAGGAGGTGCTGTGCTCAGTGTCTGGGCCTGGCTCTGGAGCCCCTCGTGCTGCTCTGGCAGGAACTTTGTGCTTCCCGGCGCTGGATCACCCGTGGCAAWCACTGCCTTAAACCAGGCACAGCACACGGTTTTGCTGCTGCTTCCCTTCGAGGTGCTACAACCCCCCGGCGTCTGACCTGACAGAAACGTGTGCCAGTGTCTGTGCCAACCRTTTCTCTGCTGTACCCGTGCTCTGTCCCAGCCTTTCCTCCTCCTCGATGCCAGTGAATAGCAATACCTGCAGGTCACCAGCGATGCCACAGTCCACGGTGCTCCTGTGACCCTGCACTGCCGGGTGGGACCTGGCTCGGAGTCTCTCAGTGCTGGGCAGCCCTTCCCTGCCTCCCCACCAGCTGCCTTTTGCCAGCTGGTCTCTACAGAAAGGAGCTTTGAGTCCTGTGCTGCCCCTTGGTGCTGATCAAGGCTGGAGGAGTTTGGGATCTTGGACTGTCCCTGGACAGCAGGAGTGTGGAATTGGTTTGATTGAATTCTGGGGTCCCCAAACCCATTTGAACTACAGACCTTTGGWGGGTGGGGGAATGCAGGTGGCTGTCAAACCTGCTTCCACAGCCCCCAACTTGAAACATCCCCTCCCTCACCCACTCTCCAGCATTGTCTTCCTCTGTCCAAGGTTTCYGTTCTGTTGGATTCGGTGGTTACGATGTGCCTTTCCTTCTCAGGACCTGTTACAAAYGACCTTTCTGCTCTTGTTTATGTTTAACATTTATCTTTATCCCTCCCTCTGTCATACTATAAAACATGAACATAATGCATGGAATACAATACAATTAAAGTGTGGCTTAACTGAGCTGCAGTGGCTGTGCTGCGCTGAGGGGAGCCAGGAGGTGCCCACGAAACTGGGCACATTGGGTACCAGTTCTGTCATTGCTGGGTCCTGTCAGCTGAGAGCCCCTTTCACAGGTCCTGTGAAAGATTTTTCTGCCCTMCAACCGGTGTCCATGGTATGATTTTTGCTGTGTATAGGATCCTCGCTAGGACCAAGATAATTGAGTCTTGGTGCCATGYCTGGTGTTGACCAGAGCTCCTGTGACTTGCAGGCACCATTTCCGTGGCCTGGGCACTGCCTGCATCACCCTTCTCCCATCATTTAACACCTCGGAGCCAGATCCCAGGCAAGCCCCGCATACTCCCTGTGCAAATGAGCAGTAGGTAAGGGGTGAAATTACTGTTTTATTTGAGGTCACAGGGCTGGYTGACCTTGTGATGACTGTGCAGAGCTCAGGGTGAGTGGAATCACAACTGGTTCCTCTCCTTTGCCAACTGATCCAGCCCTGCTCACACTCATCATTCTTTGGATTTCAGGCCAGTCTTTGGGAGTTGTCCTGCAARTGCAGCCTCAGGTGAGCAGACACTCAGTGTTTGTGTCCACTGTTTTAAGATAGGCATGAAAATATTTAAATATCCAGCTGCTGTGCTTGTCAGAACAAGGTGGGCAGGCAGGTGACTCAGAGAGACACAAGGCACTTCCCTCCTGGACTGAGCACTCCTCAGCCCTGAAAGCACAGCCCGAGCACTCAGGATCCCAGCAGGGCATTTGTGTCACTTCCTAAGGCTGTGTGASGGCTACAGAGGCCGAGGCCAGAGTTTGGATAACTCAAAATGCGGGGAAGGGTGGTGTGGAGAACAATGATGATTTGATCCAAGGTGACAAGCGGCCCCTGGGCTGCAGCTCGGGCGGGCGGGAGCGTGGGGTTTGCTGCTCCCGAGGGACAGCACGGGCGGTTGGGATCTGTGGCGGGGCTGTTGCTGGTAACACGCTCTGTTTACATTCCACATTCCAGACGGTCCATACTCCGGCCTGTCCCAGCAGTGCTGCACGTTCTGCCGGGCTGGGCACGCTTCCCAAACACCTCTTAYTGCTGCGATTGCAGCGTTTACCTCCCCCGAAACAGCTGCCCCCCCCAAAGTACAGCGGTGTGGGAGGGCCCTGTAGGCTGGAAGAACAGCCTCGGGATGCCTGGGAAGGTGGAGGCAGCCAGGGTTTGTTCTTTTCAGTCACATTACATCACTTGGGAATWATGTCAAAAAGAGGGTTTTTCTAAGAACGGGAGGTGCAGAGCCAGCGCCGCTGTCTTCTGACGTGCGCTGTCAGGCTGGAGGAGGCTCCGACAAAGGGGGGGCTGCAGAGCAGGGAGCTGCTGTTTGGTAAGGGAAAACTTAAAATTCCTGRGAAAAAGCCTCCTCTTGCGGGAGGAATCAGACCGGGAGCAAGAGGGAGCTCTGCAGAGGCTCAAGGATGCTGGAAATAACCCGGCACAGGTCGTCCACAAAACCTTCAGCATCAATTTCTGATGGATCCACAGGAGCTGGAAAACCTCTGGCAGTAGCAAGCCTGCACTGCATTTCTAGAGAAGCATTTGATTATAAACTTTATATTGCCTTGATGAACTCAAGGTCTTTTCCTAATTGATTCTGTGATTTATTCCACCTCAGAGGCGTTAGGGGAGCCTCTCCATTCACTGTTTCTCTTTCRAGATTTATGAAAGGGGCGAAATTCACGCCAAAATCGCCCAGTCTCTCCTCCCAGGGAGGCGCTTCACGAGGGGATCCTCCATCCTTAGTTCTCTGCAGGGAAAGAGCCTCCCGGGCTCTTGGGATCAGGAACACGAGGCGATTCTGASGCTGCCGCGCGGTGCCGACCCTCAGCAACGGCATCCCCTCATGGCGGGGCCGCGGGGCAGGCCGGGACTCGCCGTTACGCTCCTCCCACCGGCTGGAAGATCCTGAGCGGCGGGGCCGGGCGGGGCCGAGCCGAACCGATCTGAGCCCCGCGGGGCCGTTCCGCCACCGGTAACGGGGCTGTGGCCGGGGGTCCCACCGGGGTCTCACCGCGGTGCCCACCTGGCCCCACCGCCCACGCCCAGGGGACTACACGCCCCACAGCCCCCTGCGGCCGTGTTGCGGCGCGGYGCACTGTGGGACTTGTAGTTCTTCCGTGGGCTCAGCCCCACCCCGCGCAGCGGCCACCGCCCCCCCCGCGCACTACATCTTCCGTCGGGCATCGCGGCGCGCCCGCGGGCCGCCGGCGGAGACATTTGCGAGGCGAGTGTCTCCAAGATGGCGGCGTGGGGAAGGAGGCGCGCGGGCCCCGGCGGCACCAACAGCGGCGGCGGCCGGGACAGGTAAGGGGCGGCCGGGCCGGGCCGGGGGGCGGCGGGGGCTGCGGGGCTGCACCACCCGCGGCGGCTCCGCGACCCGGCGGCGAGGCTGAGGGCGCTGCGAGGGGAGCGTGGCCGGGTGGGGCGGGCGCGGGACGCGGCCCCGCTGAGGCGCGGAGGGGCCGGGGGCGCTCGGCGGGGCCGGGCCCGGGGAAGGTCAGCGCGGTCCGCGGTGTGTTGAGGGCAGCGCTGCCCGCGGCGGGATGCGGCACTGGGGCCGGTAGAGGAGGGCCGGCCCCGGGAGGCTCCTTCCGTCCACGGCTATTTTTAAAGGCGGGGAGGGAGCGGCGAGTCCTCCASGGTGACCTCCTTCTGCCGGGGCCGCGGCGGGCAGAGAGCTCCGTACCTGTCTCTGCCAGGGCGGAGAAGCGGCCAGGACAGATTCGAAATGCCCACGGAGCAGCGGTGGAAGTTCGGGAATCATAACTTTAAAATGGGAAAACAGATGGAGGGAGATCTCACAGAATCAAATAGGTTCGAAAGACCTCTGAGATCTCCGAATCCAACCTGTGACCGATCCCCACCCCGTCAGCCAGACCASAGCACTGAGTGCCACCCGTTCTTTCCTTACACACTTTCAGGGACGGTGACTCCACCGCCTCCCAGGGCAGCCCATTCCAGTCTTTAATCACCCTTTCTGTGAAGAAATTCTTCAAAATGTCCGGCCAGAACCTTCCTTGAGGAAGTTTAGTGCAGTGTCTGGTTGAGCTACTTTAAAATCTGCATGCACAGTTGTCCACCTGCTGAAAATGYCTGGGTTTATCCCACATTTCCTGACGTTGGCATTTTTCTGTTCTGCCTCAGGGCTGACTGATGTAACCGGCAGCTGCTGAAAGCTGCTGCAGTGTTTCTGTGAGTTTTCCTTTGTCCTGCCAGCTCGCCTCAAAACTCTGATATCCCTCTTAATTTGTGTTATGGCTTTTGCTTCACTTTGTTCSTTTGCTGTGATCCAACAGTGTTTGCTTTGATGCTGTTGAATCTACAAGGCCAAGGAGAGCCACAAGTAGCCCTCTAAATTCTGGCGCTAATGTGAATTGCAGGAATGCTGTCTATGTTCAGGGAATTCAAAAGTAATTGAACTGGAAGGGCCAATGGAATTCTTGCATCAGCGTGGTTTAAATAAACAACTAAGAATACCACAGTGGTAAAGCTGTCTGCACCCATTCCTGGCACTGGCCCTGCATGGGTGGTGGGGAGTTTTCATGTGGATTTTTCATGTAGCAGATGTGTCCTCCCAGCAGAAGGGAAAGAACAGAATATGTTAAAGAACACTTAATAACTTTAATTATTCTTCCAGGGTGAAAATTGACGCAGACTTAAAAGTGAGTTGCTACTGTGTAACTTCATCTGTGACCTGTACAATAATCTAATTRTTGTTTGAGGTGATCTTTTTTTCAAAGCTGTGATTGCTCTTGATCTTATGATCAAAAATATTCCTAAACACAAGTCACTCCATGAACCTGCTGCATGTWTTATTTTTCCTTTGCCAGTGA